CCATGCTCTAGCCACATCTGAGTCAACCTTGTGAACCTAGCCCAAGCCAAGTCCACCAATCTGCACCCACATATATATGTCTCTGAGTGCACGGCGTGCCAAGCCATGCACGCCCGTGCGCACGCTCGGGTGCACACCAAAGTGCACGCCGGCGCACACACTAGTGCCCTTCTTCGCGCGCCATGTTTGTACCCTCATGCGCCCGTGGCTGTACACCCACCTGGACGCCCATGCGCACGCCGAGCTAGACGCTCGTGCACACTAGGTTGGACGCCTACCCGCGCGCCCACCTGCACGCCCACACGCGCGCCGCTGCACCCCAGCGCGCGTGTCGGTGCACACTTGTTTGCCCTTCAATATCTTGGATGCTCCCCACTTGTGCAACCATCTTGGAGTGGTGCAACACGTGCCCATGCACGTTGGCTAAGCCCTCTAAGCAAGCCATGCCATAGCCCAACCGATGCGCTCAACAGACCCCCCCTAATATAGTCTTAAGGAAATCCAGCACTCTGACAGGAGTAAACATCACCCATGCTTGAGGAGTCATAATGGCCTTTCAGACCTTTCCCGACATCCAAATTGAGTGCCGTCTGCCCCAACCAGCTTCTATGGACTCAAGGTATCTCCCATAAAGATCCCGAGTCAAAACTCCAAGTTTCACTTTTCGCCATATTTACGAAAGTGCCACTGGGCACCCCCAGTGCACGTCGAGCATCCTTTTAAGCATCTTGTGTGCACGCTGAGCATCTTGTGCACGCTGACAACCCACTGAGCATTCTCATGGCTGTCTAACCAAAGCCAAAGTATTCCCAAGACATGGCATGGCCTTGAAATGCCCATGTCTTCCCTTGGACAACCGTCAAGGGGCTAACACTAGTCCTCTTTACTTGTATTTCATCTCCCTTAAACTCTTGCAAACTTTTAATTTATGCACCTTAATTTCATAACTTAAGTGACAACCAACAATTCCTCTATGAACACCCCATATCATTCTAGAAAGACTCTAGACACTTAGGTTGCCATAGATTAGCGCAGTCCCAGTGGTTCGACTTACCCGACCAATATCCCTATTTTACAATGATTCGTGCTATTGCGAAGGTTGATTTATAATTGTAATCGACTCAACCGACCATCGCGGCCTCAAGACTACTCTCATTTAGGTGAGTCCTCCAAAGATACATGTGACCAATACCTTGCAAAAGTTTGCTTGCCTCGGGCTCATTCAGGGCAATGCCCTTCCTAACATCACACTAAATAGCATTGGTGCCATAAGGATGGGTAGGAGTGGATCTTCATGAGAAACCTCCTAAAAAGATAGTGTTATAAATAAGTCATGTAGTACAAATTGTTTCTACCTGTTAAACCTAATTCATGGGATCTCCAATCACAAAACGGGTTAGTACTTCCGTAGGTGACTCCCTTGGGGCTTAAGCCCATTCCCCTCGACACTTCTAGGACTACGCTCTTAGAAAAATAAGACATCATCAGTATCATTATTATTTTCTTTCTGTAGAGAGTTCTAGGACTACACTCCTAGAAAGAAGAGATACTTGGTCTTTTTATTTTAATTCTCTTTGTAGCGCATGCATCTTCTAACTTGTATCGATGCCACTGAGTTGTCAAATTAGATTATTAGCCTGTATCATAGACTAAAACAACATACTAGTTAACTTACATATAAAAATTTTCTTTGAAATAATATAAAGAAGTGTAATTGCATATTTATACGCCGCTGTATACAAAATTCTAAATTCTTCAAGGGACAGACACCTCTGTCACTTAAATAAGGTATTGAATTAATGTCTCTAACTTGTGCCATATAAGGAATTTTATTTAGAGTAATAATGAAACATATAATTGTTGAAAATAAACAAACTCTCAACTTTAAAATAAATTGTCAAAAAAATATAATTTCAACTAAATTTACCCCCACATTTTAGGATTATAAAATAAACGATGGGAAGAAACCAAAAAAAACTCATATTTAAATTAATAAAGAAATATGAGATTAAAAGTTACAGAAAAAGCAACACCTGATATTAACAAGAAGATGATTCATATAAGTTTGGACTCAAACAATCATTTTGAATGCCAACCAAACTAGTGTTCTAAAATAAAAACATGACCAATACTCTGTTTCAGGGTCTAAACATATTATTTATTAATTTATTTAGTTTAAATTCAGACCCAACAGTAACAGATACAAATGTGTGTAATTATATTCAAGTATAACCAAAGTATAGTACTTGATGAAAGCAGTTCATCTCAAATAGAGAGTTCATGAGACTATGAATTTAATATCTCTGTATACATGTAGTGACATCAAGGGTTGCATGAAAATGATGATATAAAATTATTGTTAATATGTCAATATGTTTTGATTGGACTACATATCACAAACTAAACTTTATTTCTTTTAAGATCCAAAATCCAAAATATATGACTTTTCTAAAACACGACGCTTTATCTATTTGAATTCAAAATGAAACATTTTTAGTTTACACGACATTAAAAAGGTTTGTCAATCTAACGGTAATAAAATTAAAAATATATATATATTATTATTATTTTCATATATAATGAAAACAATTTTAACAGACGTGACTTTATTCTAAAAAGACATGCCTCTTCAAATGTACTTTAGTTTAGAATATCGCTTTACTAAAAGAAAGGATTCTTCTTGTTATATATATATATATATTCAAATAATCGTTTTTCCTCTATAAAACATCCTACACATCCTACACATATAAACGTTTTAGTAATATTTTCTAATATAGCTTTATCCTCTTAGACTCTTAGAACTCCAGGGAAGGGTGTCGTCTTATGTGAAGAAGAAACTTAAAAAGTATGGACTTCTCATGTGAAAGGGTATGTACGTTTTACTGGATTTTAATCCAATTATGGTTACTTGGTTTTGTACTGTGATACTCAACCAAGGATTTTAACTAATATGTCTCAATATATTCAGGTAAGAAGTCTTTGGGTTTTTGGGGGCAACATGACACTACAAAACTTGGTGGTCGTCATTCTGTGAACGTGCGCATGGAGAACATTGGAGTTGTATCTTGAATTCTTTAATAGTCGTCACAATCTGCACATAAGGAGTCCGTAAAGGCTTTAGATTGTTGGGGATTTTTGATATTTTTATACATTTTTTATTTTTTTTTCCTAATTGGTACTCACACACACATATCTTTACTGAAATTTGAACCCCTGATTTCCTTTTGGGAAGTAAGAGACTGCTATCGTTAGGCCACTAACCCGTTGATCATTCTTATTTTTAAGTTTATTCACGTAATTATATCAAAATGCACTTTGACTAAAATACTTATATATTCATATCACAATATAATCATAACACAATATATTGTATAAATAAAATAATAAACTAAAATAATAGCCAGTAAAATAACAACATGTACATATCAAAGTAGTACAGAGTAAGAAACTTCTGGCATGTTTAATGGAGAGGCACGCAATACTGCTCTGTCCTAAAGCTTTTACAGTCTCCTTACGTGTAGGTTGTGACGACTCTGAAAGGCTCCAACATAGAACTCTAGTCTTCTATGCACACGTTCACAGAAGAATATTTTACCAAGTCTTGTAGTGTCATGTAGTTGCCCCAAAAACATGGGACGTGTAAGGATATAAGTTCATCATTCATTATTTTTATTGAAGAGGCCATATATTTATAGACTACTTCATTCCTCTAACTAACCGACACAACCCAGAAACACCTTTTCATATTTACTCACACCTCTTTAATTTAACCTTAAAATGAAAATTTAAAAACTTTATACCATAAAAACCTAACAGATCGTTCATATGCGAATGGGTATTGCACAACCACAAGTGCTCTAGCAAACGAATATATTACACACTCATCAAAACACAACTGGATCAGCATTTTTACGAGTTTTATCTTATTTTCTGATGCTTTCCAGATCCTGGTTTTAACCCTATCTTATTATATATATATATATATGTTTCATGGCTGAACTTGTTCCATTGTTATTAATACAATGGCTAGCTAGTACTCTGTCACCATCAACAATGGCGTGCTCGGAGCCCCTCAAAACTCTTATTTGGAAATTCTGCAGCTTGTTCTCGATTTTAATTTTCTCCCAGCTACCCTCTTCAGTAGCAGCTACGACCACTATGTTATTATAGTTCATTTCATAACCAGTTCTCTCCTCGCCTGAATCATGGTGACCGTTTTCCCTCTATCAATCCTGCTGCGTTGTTTTAGTTGATGTCAAATTCACCAAACCAATTTTCGGTCTGTACCTGCCGTAGACTACTGTTTTGGGTTACTGATTGAACCCAAAGTTGGGTGACCTTGACCCAACCCAGACCGGCCCATTCCGGGTTGACCAGGCCTGGGTTGGGGCTGCCCAACTTGTACCTTGCGTTGTTACCGTGGATGTTCTTCATGTCTCTCTCTTTAACTAACTGCTTTATCTGGGAAGGAGACAAGAACTCTTCTCCTATGACTTTCGAGTGGCATACCCACCAAATCAATATCACAAATTTAGTATTGATTTCTCGACACATATTAATTTTTTGCTTATCAAATGTGACCCCCATAGCGGATGTCAAGCTCCGTTTGATTCTGTCTATGAAAACGAACATGCCGACCAACATGTGGACAGTGAATGTAGTTGCGGAGGCAAGATCACTCGGTTTGTTTTTTTTTTCAAAGCAAAAAGTGCCGAAGACATTAAGGCAAGAGCACTGAGTTATGTGCAAGTGTTATTAGACATTTTGATTTTTTTTGAGTTTTTTTTTTTTTTTTTAATTTTTCTGTAAGGGTAATTTAGCCGTTTTGACAAAATAGACTTGTTTGCAGAATTTAAAAATGTCTATTTGCAGAATTTAAAAGGTTTAGGGATTTAATTAAACAAATATTTGTATAACAGAGTTTTTTTTTTTTTTTTTTTTTTTTTTTTTGCCCCTTTTCCACTTAACCCTTACTTTATATATATATATTTAAAACGTTTTATACCTGTAAACCCTTTTCGTAGCTGAGGTCCTCAGTCCGCCGATTCGCGTAGTTTTCCAATAAAGAGAAAAGTAGCAGAGCAGTGGCATTTTCGTTCGGTGCATCTTGCTTTTGACCTAGTGTGAATTACAATACTTACTACCTCATACAAGCGCAGCGACGGTGTCGCTATTCCCAATTCTCTAACTCCGAACTAAAACCACCGTCTCTCTCACACACTCACTCTAGAGTTTATTTATTTATTTAGTTTGTGAAAGGGTGATTAAGATGGCAGCCATAATCTATCACATATTCTCGTCGTCGGCTCTGCTATCTCTGGGACTGTACCACCTCATCTGCACCACCAGGAACCACCTCAAATCCCCGCGCGACTACTTGGCCAAACCCTACCATCCCTTGTCTCTTTCCTCTTCATCTTCGCAACGCCTCAAGCATCTGCTTCTGTACCTTATGATCCTTTGCCTCCTTATAGCATTTGTCCACCAAACCCTAATCTCGTCCGTCTCCGACCCCCTCCTTAAGGGTCGCACTCCCGTCCACCGCTTCACCTCTCTCCAGGCCGCTGCCGTCCTCTTCCTTTTCATCCTTCTCTCCCTTGCCCTTCTCCTATCCGAGACCACCTCCCTCCTCCCCTTCCCTCCCGATCTCTTCTTCGCCCTTGCCGCCGCCCTCTTCTTCCTCCAGTACTCCGTTTCTTCTGCTGCCGCTTCCTTCCAGATTTCCGATCTCCAGGCCAAATGCGACTCCGTCTCTGCCCGCATCTCCGCCTTGTCTGCCGTCCTCTGCCTCGTCCTGGCCTGCAACCCCAGGCTGTTCGTCGCCGACGTTGGACTGGGGGCCTCGTTGTGCCTGCAGGGCCTTTGGGTGCTTCAGACGGGCTTCTCCCTTTACGTGGATGCCTTTATACCAGAAGGTTGCCATAAACTGTTGGATGTGGTCACCGGCGTCGAGGGCTCCACCAAGTGCGATCTGGAGGACTCTAGGCTAAGGGCTGTTGCGGTTCTCGATCTGTTGTTCGTGGTTCACGTCATGTTCGTGGTGATCATTGTGATGGTCTCTTATGCTGCCATCGTCAAGACTGTTGGAATCAGGAGATTCGGGTCTTACGAGGCATTGCCCACTGTAGCCACCGCCGATTCTAATCACGTCCAGATGAAGGCTATGATCGGCACCCAAGCCTGATATCATCTCTGTATGGTTCGCTTTTACCCCTTTTTTTTTTCCTTTTTTTTTAATTTACTTTTCCATTCTTAGAGATGTTTTAGATTGTGCTCTTTCTAGCTATCCTTCCTTCTTTTTAGTTAATGTCATGGTAATGATTTGAGAATGTCCTCTCCCTTCTTTTGTTGTTTGACTAAAAAACATTGTAACCTCATAAACAACTTCAGTTTTGTGTATACAAAGAAATCGACTGTATCTCTTGCTTGGTGAACTTGCAAAGCTTCCTCACTTTTTGATCTTCTCCTGTTTTATGGAAATTATCTTTCTTACTCAGATAGTTTAGTTTTGGGCCCTGTCCTTTTATAATGTATATTGCATTATTAGTTTCTCTCTCCTGCCCAATGTTTAAAAGAAAGGCTGGATTTTAGAATCTCTAAAATCATGCCCGTAAGTTGCACCATGCTTTTAAATTGATGATGCTTCATTTATTACTGTGAGGTTGATTAAATATCATTATCTTGTTTAAAGCTTGATTTGCAATGCGACCTTTTGTTCTTTGAAATTTTTAATTTTTGCCAAAGGGGAACTGGTGGCACAACCGTAACTTGACTAAGCCAGCTCTGACAGGCGAATGCACCATAGTTTTCCGAGTTGAAAATGCTGAGTGCAAAACAATCATAAGGAGATACATTCCAGCTTCGGATTCTTTAGGTTTGTTGTCTGATTGAAGATTGGGAGCTATAGGTCTCTGAAGTTTGTATAAATGCAGCGATGGAAGGTTATATTCTGTGAGACCTTGATATCCTTCCTTGGTTTGCTGAATTTGTTATTCTGGTGCATGTTGGAGTACTAGGTGTACAGTGTACTATGATGTAGCATGTCCTCGTAAGAGAAAAAGAGAGCACAATTTAGCATGCTTTTGTCTTCACAGTAGGTGTAAATTAACATAAGCTGCTCGGCTTCTGGGTTTTGACTGCCTAACATCCTGTTGCCAATTGTACATAGTTATAGTTAGAAAACAGTTCATCCTCGGCATATTTCATGCTGAAATGTCCTGTTTCAGTGAGAACTGGAGCCAAGAATCCTTTATTTCATTCCACACAAAAGTTCTATATATTCTCCTACCGCACCCCCCGCCCCGCCCCGCCCCCCCCCCCCCCCCCCCCCCCCGGCGGCCCGATTCCCATATTTAGGATTATTTCAGTTAGAAACTTGTAGTTCAGCTGAAACATTCCATGAACACCGAGATGTAACATTATCCAATCTTTTGCTTGAAATTCAAAGAGGATACGCTGAAAGAGATGTCAATGGCTGAACCATTCGTGCCATCTCGTTGGTTAGTGAACAGATTGGATGTGAATTGGGGTTGGGATGATCTTAATCCATCTGTTAAGCATAATAGCCAATCCCATATAGGGTTGTACATGGTTCATTTTGGAGGATGAACTATAAACAAACTGATCTTGCTGGTCTCCTGGAAATTGGAATTGGACCAAACTAAACTGATGGAACCACCGAATGAAATCTGAATCGTATAAGAACAATTTAGATTGTTTTGGTTTTACATATTGGGCTTACGTAGAAAAACAGTCCAATCATAAATAGGCTAGCTCAAGTGAAGAGCTACTCAGTCCAAAAACTTATTTAACATTATGAATGACTACTAATGATCCATTCTATCTGTATCTATATGTATGGAACACTATGCCAACTCAATTTGCAGCAATTTGTTCGAATTTCCCAAATAAACAACATAATCAAGCCCTTTTCCCAATTATTTGGCTGGCTACATGAATCCTATGTTTACATTCCGCTCTATTTCAGGCCATAGCCTCAGTCTGTCCACTTGCTATCATATCCATCCTTACTAACTTTATTCACATTAACTTTGGTCTTACCCTTCTCCTAATACTGCCCTCAATATAGACTATGTCACTTTTCCTAATTGGCGCACTTAAAGGTCTTCTTTGCACAAACCTAAAGATTGTTGTGCCCAAAAGAAGATTATTATTTTTTATTTTTTAATAATTGAAATTTCATTTCATTCAAACCTTAAAATTGTTGTGCATGAAAGATGAATGTCAGTGTTATAGTTGTTCAATTCAAACAGAAGAAAATACTAAGTAATATGCCAACCAAGTATTAAAATTGTCGTATAGCTCTGCTACTACCAGTTTAATTCTTCTTCTCTAGAATTAAAATTCTTGTAATTGAGGCTCCAGCTATAACTTGATTTTTTGCAAAGAGAAAGTAGATAAAATTTGTAAATATTCATGCCAACAGTAAAGATTTACAACCGATTCCAACATGGAATACAATTAAAAAGCATACAACTCTCAAAAAGCTCTAACATCAATGCACAATAACTAAGTTAAAAAATATCAATATTCACAACAATAATACTAAAATATTTAACCATCATAATCGTAACATCCATAAAACATGTAAAATCTTCAAACTTTCACACATTACCACAAAAGAAAGCATCCAACAGTTAACAAATCATCTCGAAGTGAGTAAAACTAATAGCACTCTAAACTTCAATTAAGCAAACAACCCATTCTCCTACAAACATCTTTGCACCACCTCCTCAGTTCCATAGATGTCATTTAGAAGCTACATATGTTTAATTCTTTCGTAATTAGTTGTAAACTAATACATCAAATATTAGTAAACATCTGTCAACAATTTATATCATTTGCCATGAAAATTGAAACATGTGATGCTTTAGAATTTGAAATTGATTTCAATGTTGTCAACCCGATCTGTGACTGCAAAACTACAAAAAAAATTTAAAATCAACAATTGCACTTTTTTTTTTTTGATAAGTAAGATTGTATGAAAGTGCGCAAAAGGGGGACACATCCCTCCAAAGAAACACAAGGCCAAATGGAGCCTCTAAACACTCAAAGAGCCCAAAATATCAACAATTTCATCCATAGATTTACAATTTTTCCCTAGAACCCAACTAAAAAGGGTGTTGATAATTTTGGTGTTAAAGATTCCGTAATTTCTAATTTGAGTTTGAGTCTGAAGTCTTGTGTTTGTTCTAGTTAAGGATGTGTTCACGTTGTGTTCCCAAAAGCACATTGATTCTGTGAATAATTTGATAATCACACACTTAGGGCAAGTTATTAAATTGGTGAGAATTTACTTGATTTTTGAAAACATGTTTGGTAGTGTTGTAAAGTGTTAAATATGTTTTCAAAATGAAGGAGAGCACACAGGGCTTTGAACCCAAATACATTACCCACAATGGAAATAAACATAATTGTAACAGAACCCTCTTCAAAAAAGGTCTAAGGGGCTAAGCTATGTAAGCAATATATTGATTTTCTTCTCCAGCAACGGGCTCGATGTGGTAGCATCACCTGATCACGTTATTTTCTAGCTTTTTTTTTTTTCATATCAAAATATTGAGTTTTGTACATTACAAGGTGAGTTTGCATCGGTACACAACCCAACAGTGCAAAATATTTTCGCACTGGTATATGGCTCCAGTGGAAGTTGTGCATCGGTACAAGTTGCGCTTCTACAGGTATGCTTACTCGGGAAAAAAGTTTGCACTAGTGTGTAAGTTGCCCTTGTACTGCTATACGATGCCTAAAACTTATTTGTTATTAAACTTATAAAACATCTGCAAATCAATCCTAAACTTATAAAACATCTTCAAATCAATCCTGAAGTCGTTTAGAACTTGATTGTGATTGTAAACCCTACAGAAACAAAACTCCTAGTATTTTTCCAACTCTCTGTCTTCTCTTTTTCAAATTTACACGCTTGCTTTTGTTCTCAGCAACCCCTTTATTTTCTGGTAAGCTGCTATTTCTCTTTTGCCGCGCACACATGCAATTGCAAATTATTCGTGTGTGCCATGATTACATAATTAATTGAAGTTAGATTAGTAGTATACTCACAATTACTTCAAAACCATTGTTCATGGAGAATTTTTTGAGTAAACTGGTGAAGAATCGATCAAGGTTGATCAATTCAAGGGAACAATCACTGATCTTGAGAGTGCAGACGTAACTGTGTAAGACCGAGGTGTCGGTAGCGACTGTGTCATACGAACTTCGTGTTAAGGTGTCCAGTTTTGTTCACTCTGAATGAGATTCTATGATTTTTCTCGGTTTTGGGTTTCCATAGAAAAGTTTGGGCATCTTGTTGATGAAGATTACCATATTGTCCTTTGATGTTGCATGTAGAGGTACCTAACTCTTAACTTTTTACAACTTCTAAGCTAGAAATTAAGCAAAAGTAGAAATTTGCCAACATAAATCCTATTGACCTAACAACGGAATTAATTAAGGATACGGTTCCCAGTACAAATAGCAAACGTAATGGCAACGATTGAAACGGGAATACTTAAAGCGTACTATGCAACTTGAGAGAGTATTTTACACCGACAATTCAATTTTGACCAACCTAATCTTTCAAAGTTCAGATCATTCTTGTCACAAGATTCCTCTAAATATTTGTCCACTTCAGGCTTTCAATATGCTCCTTTTCTTCCAAGTGCTTTTAGAAATAGATTTAAGAGACTTTACTCGTGAAACTTGCTTCCATAATTGGTTGATCAACCTTCATGTCATTTAGGCTTTGAGCTGTGCTAGTATATGGCATAAATGACTCATGCATTTAATTTTCAACAGACTCGTGTTCCTTTTACTATTTGTGTGGGGATTGCCCATTGTCTTGGTTGTTTCCAAGACTTTTTAGGATTGCTGCGGATAGGTATGCTATGGTAGCGGACTGTTATCGGCTTGATAGCGGAAGGCTTACGTGGGATCTGCGTTTTTCGGCGTTCTTTCCAAGATTGGGAACTTGAGGATGTCATTGGCCTTTTGGATCTTTTGTATAGACAAGATTTGGATGGTAGAGGGTCTGACTCCTTGGTTTGGATGCCTTCTCCTCAGGGGAGGTTTGATGTCCGTTCTTTATTCCTTTGCTTCGTTGGTTTTGGCTCTAGTTTCCCGTGGAAGACGATTTGGCATTCGAAGGCTCCTCTCAGGGTTGCATTTTTTGTTTGGATTGCGGCTTTGAGCAAGATTTTGATTGTGGAAAATTTGAGAAAGAAAAGACAGATCACATTCAACTTGTGTTGTATGTGTAAGAATGATGGAGAGTTTGTGAATCACCTTCTCTTTCATTGTTCTATGGCTTATGATTGCTGGAGTCTTATTTTTGGTCTTTTTGGCATCCATTGGGTTATGCATCTGTCTTCAAGGGAATTGATTGACATTTGGAGGGGTCAAAGGGGTGGGTGCCATG